GGATCATCATGTTAATGTTTAACTTATCATTAAATGATTTTATTTTTGCTGAAACTCTAATAATATGGTTATATTCTGCTGTTATAAACAATTAATATTATACTCTGATGTTGCATGGAAAGTGATGTAAGAAATGGCTAAAATGTTGTAAGCTTTATTCTCCCATTTATGATTCTGTTGAAAAATGTGGATTTTCGGGTTCTCCCATGGGGTGTGCTCGATAGAACTGTTAAATTAGCTCGCTCTTGGGGTATTTAGTGTCTAATAGAAGACAAGCACCTTCGAAAGTGAGTTATTTTAGACGGTTCTGCCACAGCCCTCGTCTCCGGTGGGAGCGGGGTCGCTGGGAGCACGAGGTGGCATGGAGGTCGCGCAGAGGGGAGGGAGGGAGGTAGCACGGGCGGGCGGGGCACGCAGCGAGCTCACGTGCGTGGGCGTGGCGTCCCCGTCCCAGGGACGGCACGGAGAGCGAGCGGGCAGAGCAGGGGAGAGCGAGTGCGGGGGAGTGGGGGAGAACGAGGGGAGAGCGAGTGCGGGGGGAAGCGAGTGCGGAAGAGCGAGGTGTGGAATGGTGCGTCCGGCCGACCCGGACGCCCAGTCTATATCAATATCGAAAAAATATAGAGAGCGATTTCTATTTAAATGACTTTTTAAATAATGATGATTTACTCGGAGATTGGGTGACGGGGCGGCAAGCTCCAAGATTGTGGACACTTCTCGTCGCAAAAAAAAGCTGTGGACTCTTCTCTTCTTCGCATGGTGAATATCATGAAACAAAGCCCGTGTTACTTTATTTTATGGTTGACTAGATATGTGCCCGTGCATTGCACGGGGGGCCATGAATTTTCCTCCACGTCCACTGCGAAGGATTCGATCATTTCTAGAAATAAAAAAAAACTATTAAACGATTTTGCATTGGGAATCTAAACTATTTCCTAATGAATTTAGGCTTTTTGATCGTATTTGACATAATTCACGTGTGTGCCAATTCTTTTGTTCTAGATTGAGTACGGTCCTGACATCGAGCCTCTTCCGGTCCACACATGTGGATTTATATTCCTGACTTTGAAGTTGATAATTTTCAGGCTTTTCAGACTGATTTTGGAGCAGATCTCAATGAGTTGTACATGCCGACTCCATAATTGGAAGGAACTTGACAAAATTTAAATTATAATTTTTTTATTTGATTTTGATTTTATAAGTTTCAGTCAATTTGTGCATTATTTTGAAAAGGACAAAAAGCTAACAAAATACTTTGTATTGGGAACCTAAAGTACCTATGTAAATCCAGTGCCGGCCCTAAGGGGAGGGCAGGAGGTGCGACGGCCGAGGGCCCTCCCGAGATGGGGGCCCAAGCCCAAGTATATAATACTCCATACCCTTTAGCTATAGTCCATTAGGATTTAGGATTAATTGGCCTCGTTCGGCTGACCAAGAAGCCGGCTTGTTCGGCTTCTTTTTCTCATCGAATGTGCAGTTAGTTTTCTCTCACAATATTTTAGGCGGGGGTATTTAGTTTTTCAAAGATGAATAAAGCATTTTTTCATACCAAATTTTAACGAGGCCAATGAGAAGATGCAATGCCCCATCAACAAAAGGAGTCGTCGGCCTCTTTCTTTCCAGGAGGCAAGGAGCCAGAGCCGCCAACACCGCACACACCAAGACATAGCGCGATCGCTGTCATCGACTTCCGGACTTCACTGGCGAGAGCGGCAAAGACTACGAGAGACGCAGCCCGATCACCGAGATTCACACGTGATCACCAAAAGAAAAATCAGGAGACACCGACGCCTTGAGTTCCGGGATCTTCCGAAATCCGATCGAAAAATATAGAGGGATTTCTATTTAAATGACTTTTTAAATAATGATGATTTAAGGGGCTCGGCGAAGATGACGACATCTGATCTTGGCTATTGCCTTCTGCCCTTTTTGTGATTTGTGAATCTTGGTTCTAAAAAAGTTCATGTCCAAATTGTCTAGGCCTTAGGGTTTTTTTTCCTTGTTCAATTTTTGTCTAGTACTTTGTACTCATATAATCATGTTTTTCTTGTAATTTAGGTCAGGTGTTAGAATTTTAGAATGTTACTTAAGAAACATTTGTCGAGAGAGGCCGTCGCGACGAGTTCGCCGGGGGGCCCTCAAAATCCTGGGACCGGCACTGTGTAAATCTTGAGATCAACTTTTACAATTCATTTCCTGTTTATATTTCTTTGCATTTTCTTTATCTGAAACACTCTGGTTTTCCCTATTCTTGCCAATTTATACTCAGGGGAGCGGCCGTCAGGAATTATACTTAGGGGGGGCCGGCTCGGTCTTTTTCATTGCGATAATTTTATTATCTAGTTGTGTTTTGTATAATTATATTATCTAGAAGATATTAATAGGTATATACGACGAGAATTTTATATAATCTCCCTCTTAATATAAATAAAAAATATTAAGTCATACTACTATTTTTTTTTATTGTGAAACATTGGGGGGGGGGCTGGCCTGCCAGCCCCCCCTTGGCTCCGCCAGTGATCGGGTCCTTGCTGAATCAGATCATGAACTCACGTACTCTCCATCGGAACGGCTGGTATGGCCGGCCTGGACTGACCTCGCCGCCGCCGTGGCCCTGGAGGCCTGGACGGCCGCGAGTCGACTCAGTTTTGACGGGGGCACGGGGGCACGCGCAGGAGCGTATCAGAGTTGTAGCAGAGTCGTAATTTTAACGGAGAGGGTGAGAGGCAGGGCACCATGGGATTTTTTTTGAAGGAAAGCAACCTCCGGTATTTTGTAGGTGTAGAGAGTAGAGAAGTTTGTTAGAATAGCTTCTTCTAGTGGATATAAAAAGAGCAAATTGTCTATACTGCTCTTCTGTTTTTCTCTCTCTTTTTTTTCTTTTTTTTCTTATTTATTTTACTTTTGCAAGATAGCACCGCCCACAAGCATCTCTTCACCGCAGTCTCGCTAACCCGTACGTTTTTTTCGGAGAGGTGGGGCTCGACGCGCCAACGCGCGGACTCTCGCGGGCGTGATTTTTTTTTGCGGAAAGGTGGGGCTCGACGCGAACCTACGCAGGCAGGGCGACGCTGGAGCGTGCGGGCCTGCGGGGTCACGTACGGACTCTCGCGATTAACCTGGAGGCAGAGCGATCAAAGTTGTGTCCGACGATAACACCACGAATATTTTAGGTGTAGAGATTTTTCGAATCTTAATTAATATATTTCCTCTTTCTTTATCCGGAAGATCAAGAGACCATATCCCATTATCATTTTCTTAGTAGATTAGACATGATGAGAACGCCAAGAGGACTTGTAACTTGTTGCAAGAGTTCGTCTGGTGCCTGACCGCTTCCTTGCATTGAAATTCGCCGATCGCGTCATCAGTTGCATATCATCCACGAGCCTTTTCGACCAATACAAAACAGCAAAACACCGACTGGAGGGCGCACGGCGTGTCCGGAAAGAGCAGAAACATCCACGAGCCCTGCCGCACCCGCGTGCGCCAGCGCGCGCGTCACGTGGTCAACTGATCGAACCCGGGCCCTCTGCCAGCGCCCACGCGCGCGAGCCCAACCGAGCGCCCCAACAACCCCTGCAGCTGCAGCTCCCTCCCGTCGCCTGTCGCCTGTTGCCCACGGACCACCCCAGCCCCGACCGGGTCCGTCCATCGCGCATCCAGAAGCCGCGCCAACCGAGCACGAATCTCAAATCCATCTGACCAAGCCATCGCGCTCGTGCCGCGTACGGGTACCCCACCAAACCACCGTTCAGGCAGTCACCCTCATCCACATGGCACACGCCTTTCTTTCCCTCCAAGAACAGGGGAGGAAGGGATCCGCCGCGCCAGCGCCCACCTGACCTGGCTACCCATCCGCGGCTGACAACCGGACCCCCGACCGCGCCGTGGAAGATACGCAAGGGATTGGGTGCGTCGCTGCGGCAAGCTTTCGCTGATTCGCAGAATCGCAGCCTTTTCTTTCGTGTTCTCCACCCTCCTCGGCTCCTCGACGCAGTAATAAATAGAAGGCCGCTGATAAACAAAGCGGATAATAAAATCCCGCAGCAAAAATCGCGCACCTTCCCCCTAATCCCTTCCCTTCCCCTCCTCCTCTGCCCCCCAGCTTGTTTGTTGCCTTGCGCGGTTGGCTGCGCCAGCGAGGTTCGCCTCGCCCTCGTCCTCGCGCCGCTTACTTCTATTCTGCCCGGTCCCATAAATTCGAATCCAAACGCGCGACCGTCGCTGCTGCGGCCGTGGAAAAGAACACACAGAAAAAGGCCAACGCCGTCTTCTCTTCCTCGACGCCAGGGAAGGAGGTGGAGCGCAGCTGCCTCCGCTAGGGTTTCCCATCTTCTCGGTGGAGGCGCCGCGCCTCCGGACCCGGACCCGGACCCTTCCAGCCAGGTGAGTGCTGCTACCTCGACCGAATCTTGTCATCCTTCGACGTCGGTGCCGGGCGAGGGATCTCGCGCTGAAGGTGAAGGGGAGGGGGTTGGGGGGTTCAATTCGTTCGGCTGCCAGGGTGCTGCGCTGCTGGTTTTTGGGGCGACGGTCCCGCCTCATCGTGTTGGGTCGTCGGTGAGGCGGATTTGGGTGTTCCTCTCTTACGCGTGGTTGGGGTGGTCGGGTTTTTTTGGTCAAATTTTGCAACGGAGCTGTCGGATTTGAGACGAGTAATCACAGGGTTCGTGCGTTCCTTCGCGCGATTTCGTGTTGGTATGTAAATATGTAATCACAGGGTGGGGAATATTGAGCGTTTTCTCCTTTTTTTTTAGGGAATGATTCGTGTGCTGTGTGCATATCACCATCTCATATTCTCATGCCAGAGGCTTTTCCAAACGATACGTGTTCCGCTGGAAATGCTTCCAAATATTTTGATCGTGGCATATTTTCCCCCACTACGAGCAGGATCTTGATCTATTCTGACGTCGAATTTCTCATGTCAATTTTGATTCAGGTCCACGTTGATGCCAGGGAGGTGCAGCCGTCATTGATTCCCCTCCTGCAGTTGCATCCCCATGCCGACCATCACGCACTACGCCGTGCTGGATCCCTTGCTTGAGACAGGGTCGCCTGCGCAGGTCCAGAAAGCCACGCCCAAGCCGCCGCCCTCGCCTCCGGACAAGGCCACACCCGTGCCGGTGGCTCCTGTTAGGACGCAGACCTCGCCGGCATCACTATATGCCACGCCTGAGAGCACCACCCTGCCTGACTCACCTTCCTCGTTCCCCGGAACCTGGTCGCCGTACATCATCAACCATAAGAGGCGGGGGGCTTCCCTTGCAAGGACCTTCTCTCAGGGTGATGTTGGAAGTGAGGGCAGCCAGCCGAAGCTCCCAGTGATGCTGCCTGCTTTGCCCAAAGGTGGTGAACCCACTGCAGTCGAGGAGCCTGAGTTTACATTTCAGCAATCAGGGAATGGTCAAGCTGAAGGTGACAGTGGTGTGGAAGAGGCTACCATCAATGGACAAAATGAAATGCTACTGAAGGGCAAGGGATCTGTGTCAGCCAAAAATGAGCAGGAGCAGCCTGAGTTTGAGTTTCAGCGTGGAAGTTCTGAAGCACTAGTGAGGCCTGTTAATGTTGGGAGGCCTTTGATTGGTGGAGCACCAAAAAATGATGAGATTGACACCTTCCTTGAACTTCAGGATTCGATGAGTGTGGCTAGCAATACTGAAGCTGATGATGCTGGTATGCAAGAGCGGTGGTGGAAGTCCAGTTCCCCTTTTGGGACCTCTGTTGGCACACCTGGTGCTGAATTCTATGACGCATTTGAAGGTACCAATCAGTTTGTTACACTTTGTTTGTCAGTTATTTTCCTTTTTTTTATGTGTAACTCTACCAGGTTTCCATGGTATTAGACTGTTAAAACAACATTGAAAATAAGCATTCTAGTGAGTCTAATGTTATTTGCAAGATGCTTCCTGCAGATTTTCTTAGCAGACTATTTCTAATTCACTATAGCAATACCATATACCATATCTATTAAAAAGCTGCTGAAAGGGTATGAGTACAAACAAAACTAAGTACCAACTGTGTATGAGAAAATATCCTGGTCGTTGGTCTCCTAAGATGCAAGATTCATCATGTTCTGCTTTTTCTTATAAGTTTTGGTATAGTGTTTTTAAAGTAGAATTGATCTTAGGAGTTTACCCTTTTGCTGATTGACAATTTCTCCAGTCCTAAAGTTTTCTACTTCTGATATTTTTAATGTGCAACAATAATGCTCACAGTAATTTTTAATGTTGTTAGAGGTATGCAAAAGTCATTCTACATATGATTTTCCATGATATGAGTTACTAGTTTCAGGCTAGAACTAGAAATGTGGAGTATGTGTAGTCTCTCCCAGTTATGCCTTTAGCCCTATTAGGGTTTGATTTTTTATGGGAGCCATTGTTTTGATTTGCCTCGGTCATCTTTATTTGGTTGAATCTAGCTTCTCTTCAACCATGTGATACACTGCAATCATCTACTGTGTTGTAATGACTGATCACCATGAGCTAAGGTCTTTTACCCCAAATGATGGAACTGTTTAGGATACATTAAAATATTAAATGTTGCATGGAGATAGTTTCTGCTAATCTTTTCTATTTTACCGGGAAAATTACCCGTTTTACCGTGGAAATTTCTGGATGCCTTGATGTATTCGGAACTAGTGGTTGCTATGGTTCTTTTGTGCTAACTTCAATGTTATTTGTCAAAACTCAGAAATATCAAGTGATGGTGGAACTCGATCTTCACGAGCGATGGACGATGACCTCCGTGAAATGAGGCTAAGTCTGTTGATGGAAATTGAAAGGAGGAAGCAAGCAGAAGAAGCACTTGAGATCTGGCAGAAGGAATGGAAGAAGCTGAGTCACCACCTATCACATGTTGCCTTATCACTTCCATCTCCAAGTATAGCTGAGGATACTGATGATTCAAGCGTGGATCCTGGAGCTGAGTTGTGCCAGCAAATAACTGTTTCACAACTTGTAGCTGCTGCTATTGCCCAGGGTTTTGCCCGTGCTGAAGTTGAATCAGATATGGAAACTGTGATTGCAGCAAAGAACTTTGAGATTGCAAGGCTGTCGGATAGGGTCCAGTACTATGAAGCTGCAAACAGGGAAATGTCCCAAAGAAACCAAGAAGCTATCGGTAAATACTTTCTCCATCGCAGTTGGCTATATTTAGTTCAGTGGTATTTTTTGTACAGAAGATGACCTTGATTAATACTATTTGAAACGGTGACACCCCTATGAAGGGCTTATATAGATTCTAAGGTAGTTGTGCATCCCGTAAACAAAATCATGGGCACAAAAGCCTCCTTCCTAGTCAGCACCCAAGTCCTTAGGTGGTACACTCCCTTCCTCTCCTTGTTCTTTTAGAACACTGCTGATTGTATATAGTGTTCAGGCGTTCGATAAATTATATGAGAGGTGAACATCTGTGGGAACTGGATGCAAAAAGCTTACAGACATTCTATGTTGGATATGCAAAAGATATTATATCTGTTTTCTAGGTTCTAACTAACATGAAATATGTTTGTTGTCCTGGCAGTATTCCTCCTATACTCTCTTAATTAATGTCGAGCTAAATGACTTTGTGTAACGTAGTAGAATTGAGGCTACAGACGCACTACACTCGTCCACTTATTGACATCGACGTGTATCAATCGGCATTTAACAAGGGTTGGTTTAACCATACTAGTGTTGGCTGTCTGCCTTGCACTTGAGGGAAAAATGTTGGCCGAATTGTTTGAGAAACATTTAATAGATGATATATTGATAGGTTTTTTAGTACTGTGTACTTTTGTATTCCAGCATATTAACGCTTGCATTTTTTTCCAGAGATGTCAAGGCAACAACGCAAGGAGCATAAGAAGCGACAGAAGTGGTTCTGGGGTTCAGTTGGGCTTGCAGTCACCCTTGGTGCCACGGCTATTGTCTGGTCTTATCTACCTTCGTCGCAGCCCCAAGGTAGTGCAGATTCAAATAGTACCGCCAGCAACTAGAGCTAGGATGAAGACATCTCATTTCAGAAGCCTAACAAAGCTCTAACTATACTCCTAGAGGGAAAAAAAGGTTGTATATATAAGTTCTCTTTTGGTGATCGGCCTTGATCACTACAATCTTCATTTGTTGCTTTGTCTGTAAAAATGTTGGATGGGCCATCTCCGTTCAGGACTGGCTCCATTCCAATCACCGTAAATCTCTGCATAGATGGTTCATGGTTGAGCAAATAATACAAGGAATGTGGATATGGTTAGTAATCCATGCCCACCGACCCCACTCAAGAGGAGTTGAGTTGATTTTGTCAACCGGAGTTTTGTTCTGCTCATCCTTTTTTTTTTTTTCAAACAAAGAGAAGAGATAAGCATTACTTTCTCAGTTCTGTGCGCTTGTAATTGCATTAAGTGTGGTTGTGTAGCCGAGGGCTATCTGAACCCTTTGTGGCCATGATATAGAGCAACTAAGTGGTGTGTCCTGGGCAACAGAATGTGTAGGGCCTGTTTGGAACACATGAATTGAAAACACAGGAATGTGATGAATATGTAGCGGTAAAACAGAGGAAAAGAAAAAGCTAGAAAATAACTAAGAATGAGCGTTTGGAAACTAGGAATACATAGCACATGAATCATAAGACTGAATGCTATAGAGTCATTATTAGTGTTTAATGAAATGATAATATATATACTGTGTTAGTTGCATATTTTTTCCATGACCCTCTTACATGTGGAGCCACTAGACCATGTTGATACAGTTGGGGTCTGTTGACACAAAATGTGACGCACTGTGCCTCACACACAGCAAGCCGAAAAGCGTAGCTTCAATCGGGTTCCCGGGTGCTTCGTTATCCGAGCGTGCGGTCCAGTTTGACCTGAAAAAAACTAACAAGGGACAAAACAATTAAATGTCAAACCGGAACATGTCGGGTAATACTGCATAGCTTCCACATATACGGCCCACGGTTAGCCACTTACAACGACATACATACTATAGAGAGTCATGCGCCAATGAGTTCATAAACCGTTCAAATAATAGTAAGATGAATGCACGTGGAGACCTGATTGCCGAATATACGTGCATGGGAAGACATGTTTGAACAAGTGAAATTAATTATGAGTTAATGCATAACCAAGCTCGGCGATTCAAATTAATTGGGGTCCATGAAGAAGGAACGTGCAAATAAAAAAAAAAAGATTAAACTAATCTAAAACTCAGATCCGCCGCATGACACCGGTTTTATTAAAGCTTAAACATGATTAACATGCATGAACCCATGACATGTGACAATCTAGATTAAAATAATTCAGCCATAATATGCACACTATCTGGTTGCAAAGGTATTATGAAAAGCAATGATCGTTGAAGCACGAATAAAACCACAAGAGAGAAAAAGGCCGAACAATATCAATCTAGATTGGGCGTAAGTATGTTACAAATATATATAAAATGTTCCGTAACATGCAACACTGGATAACTTAATGAATCTATTTAGATTTGCCATATCTAAAAGAGCCGATAACTATCTTGCTTTCACTAAGCATATTGAGCAAACGCACGCTTTTGCGACGGTATCTACTCATAAACAAAGCATAAGCAAAGACTTCTTGATTGTCAAACAAAGATCCGCCGCACGCGACCATTGAAAACAAACAAGACTACTTGCATCACGCCTAAATCCACCGCATGATACTAAACATGATAACAAGGTTGTCGGAACTTACGGAGGTCGACGGATCGATGACTCCTCTCAAGAACTCGACGACCGACAAAAGGACTCGAAAGTTGGCACGGGGCGGTTGTATTGATTTGGTTGTGAACCCCTATTACAATGGTCGAGGGTCAATATTTATACCCTAGACAAAACACGAGTCCTAGAGGACTACGATTTACAAAGGAACCTTTAAATAAATTTGGAAACTCACGATTCCTTACCCTAAACTTTTAGAGTCCTTTACTATTACAACTTTCACCTTTTCGATCGGTCTTGCCTGCCATCTTCTGTTTTTTCCCGAATGGAATCACCGCCTTCAGGAGTAACCGACCGCAATGCATTTAGCCGACCGCTTGCTTTGTTTGCGAATACCCTTCTTCCCGCATGTGGGTCTACCTCATCTTCCGAGAATCGACCAAAATCCAAAGTTGTTAACACATGCCCCTCAATTTCGGGATAAAAGTTGTTTTATTCTCAAATTGACCACAAGCTCTTTCATTCTCCTAGGTCATCACCGTTCAAAACCGCAATTACACTGCCCAAAAATTCAAGCTTTCAACAAGAACCTCGGACCTCCTTCAAATCTTCAATGGCGACCTGTGATGAAATCCCAGAGGTAAACTTTACTTATATTCGCAATTTTCATTTTATCCTCCCGCCCTCTTTTGATTTACTCCCTTTGATTTCAATCATCTTCTAAAGGAATACAAGAGCCAGATTTTGATCCCCTATGTCGCCAACCCCGACTCCTATTTCCTCGGCCCAATGGGAAATCCCGACCCTTTTGAAATTATTGAGAAGGAAACCCAAAGAATTCCTTTCAAGTCCGGATTACCTCGCCAAACCGATGGCCAAACATGTTCAAGAATTGGCCATTTCCCCAATCACCGGATGGCGTGAATCGGTACAGAGAATGCTTTGAGAAAAGCAAGCACCATTGGGGGAAAGTCGGACATCACCATTGTCTGGAATTATCTTTAGCGAAACACCCAGTGAATGATTCCCTTTTGATAGCGACTTCTCATTTTGGTCCGACACTATCAATGCCTTTATCTTTGGTCATGGTATTATGACCATCACTCTAGCCGACGTATTCATGATGACTGGCTTGAATGTGTCATTGCTAGTATATCCCTATAAGTACAAGAGCAAAAGTAATCAAAGAGCCGCTGGCCTGGATGTGGATGGGTCAAACATATTCGAACTACATGAATGCATCCGCACCGCTCTCGACAAAGAGTTGAAAGCCTTCATGAATATGTGGCTATGCGATTCATCTTCTCGTGGAAAATCCAATGAACCAACCCCTCGAATCACATGGTAATGGTGAAGACTTAGCTGCAGCACACTCGAGATCCCACTAGGCAAATATCTCTTAGGGTCATTTTATCATATGATGCATCGATTACTCTTCGAGATCGCCAAGGTGGAGAAATCTCTTGTGTGAATGGTCCCCGGTGGCTAATTCAAATGTGGCTTCAGCTATATATGCATCGAGATAACCTCTGTGAGCCTCTTCAATCTAAGTTTTCCTTCAACTATGTCAAGGCAACACAAAAAAGGTCAAGGCATGTCGACTTATGGGGAAGCAAAGATCATCCATAAGCATTGACATAGACATCGGTCATTTCTTCAAGCTATTTTTCAAAGGATTCGCAATGTGCTCGGTTTCCTTACAAAGAAAATGAAAATTTGACTTTGCCCTCGCAAGTTTAGCTATGAAATTGGTTGTTCAAAGCCAAGAATCCACGGAGATTTTCAACTCCTTTATCAAGCCTTGCACTCTGCCAAATTAATTTCATCATGGGAGACTAGTACAATCTACCTATGAATTTTATTATCCAAACATGGTGGCGGACAATTAGGATGCGCCAACCGCCTCCAAAATTCCTCTTCTCAACAATCATAAAGTCAAGGGAATTAATAATGTATGGAATGGAAGCCAAGAAGGTCTTTGAATTAGGATGGGAATTGCCAATATACTGAACCATCTCCATTTGGGCTAATAGATGTTGCTCATCCCTTCTTTGTTTCTTGGTGGCAAGAATGGCATGCTCATATCTTCAATATATCGCTTCATTCTCTATGCAAAAACTTGCAACCCGATTTTGCTTCCGACGGTGAGGTAATTTCATTATGCCCATCATTTCTTGTTCTTGAATCCACTTCTTACTTTAACATCCGGTCATGCACAGGATCTTGAGTTTACTCCTCCAACCAAAGCAATCCAAAGATTATTCGGTTGGTCCCAAGCTCCGCTCTGGGGTTTGATGCTCCAAACTTAAAGGAATTCATGAAAACTTCGCAACTTTGGATTCAAAGACCTCTAAAGGCACTCATGAGAACTCCTGCTACTTCAAATTTGCTGCACCTTCGAGAGGAAAAAGCAAAAGGAAAACACCGAAAGTTTTCTCTTACCCAAAAACCAAGGACCAAGAAAGCCGATTATCCCTTAAGGCATGAATCTTTTATTTTCTTATCAGTCAACAATCTCACTTAGCGAAGAAGCCCCACCACCTCTATATTCATTACTTCTATTGCAGCCACAAGTCGAAACTCCCACACTGGGCAATACCTCGGCGCCGCAGAACCAAGCCCTCAAGTTTCTCATCAAGATGAAGAAATTCATGATAGCGAAATTTCGAGAGACTCATGAAGTCAAGGTTCAAAGGCTCATAAACCCGATGAGACTATAGGTAACATTGTTCAACCAATTCTCTTTTTTTCTTTTTTTAAATAACATCTATTCTCCTATGCTCATTATCATTTACTTCAATTTGAAAATAGATGAAATCTTAGATGAACTGGCAAGGAAACCTCTCCCATCAAGCTCCAAACTCGTCCCCTCTAAATCTTCAAATTAAGTTCCCAATGAGGCCGTGGTATAACCCATCCCGATGATCAACCAAATTTCAAGGTAATTCCTTGTTTTACACTATATTTTATCAAAATTACCCAACCGCTAACACTTTCTTTCTTCTCTTTTCTTTAGAAGAACATCACTAAACCGACCACCGCCACTCTTTCTCTATTGAGGATTACATCATTGAGAAAGGTGAAGAGATTACTTCCCATCAAACCTTATCATTTGGAAAATCAGGCCCGGCTAAAAGAGGTGATCATTCGCTAAACAAGGATACCATCGATCCGTTCGGGATGCGACTGGATAAAAGACCTCCTTGAACTCATTGATCAAGATATCCCCTCTCGCTCTCAAGGCTCCCCTAGAATCTGCAACCCATCTTGATGACCACTTTGCTATGGTGAGAAAGGCAATCAAAAATACATCTTCGA